TCATCGTCATCATCGTCGTCGGTGTCCTCTCCTCATTCCCGCGCCTACAACTTCCGCTGCTTCTTCCTATTCTTGTCCTCCTTTGCCTTCCTCAGTCGTTCACCCTCGGTGTGATTCGTCATCCTCATGATCGAATCCCTTGGCAATGGTGCCGGGTGATCTGTGAGGATGAGGTCCCTCGGCTGGTCCCGCCCCTCTCAAAGTTAGTATCACGGGGTCAGGAAATCAATTGAAGACAAGGCAAGAGAAAGGGAAACTTACAAAGATGACGTAGCCTGGCTCTAGCCGCATTAGAGGATGCCCCGGTACCAGGTAGATGAAGTCGAGGGCGGCACCCGCGTCGTCCCGCAAAGGATCCATCGCCTCCTTGATGCGTTGCGTGATCTCGGAGTTGGGGAGCGTTCCCTCGGCGAGCGTCGTTCCGTCGAACGACACCTTGGGTGCCATGGCATATAGCGAGAGCGCTCACGTCATCAATGGCGCCACCCTCCTCATGTGGTAAGCCCTGATGATGCCCAACCCCTTCAGGGCGTTCTCCTTCAGGATGTGGATGGCGGCGATGTGGTCTCGGATCTTCTTCTTGTCCTTCTTCGGGATGCCCCACTTCCTCCACTGCTCCGAGGCCTCTTCGATCAGGCGCACGGTGAACTCCGACAGAGGGGCGGTGGCATCATTCTTGAGGTAGAATCACTGCGAGTGCCACCCCTTATTGGACATCGAGAGCCACATGGATGGGTACTCGTCGACCCAATTGTTACGAAGTTGGATGCCGGCGCACCCCATCGGCATGTGCAGCTCCTGCCTACCACTTTTCTCCCTCTTCTTCTGGAGGTTGATGGCAAAGAAATGCCTCCACAAGTCAAACTGGGGGCTTGTCGGGTTCATAAACCCAGGGTCCCTCGGGGACCGACTTCCACGCCAAGGCTTGACCCAAGCAAACAGCACATAGCTCATGGGCCAGCCCAAGGGTCTAGAACAATAGGCTGAAAGGGCGGCCCAGTCACCGACTGGAAGGTCTGGCCGAAGAGGAACAACGCCCGCTCGTTGACTACTTTGGCCCACCTCTCCGACCGGAGTGCTCGCTTTGGACTCCAGCCGCCTCCGGATGACCTCTCTGATCGAAAGGCCTGGCCCAAAGCGCTACTTCCGACTCTGACCCCACGTCTCCGACCGGGGTCCGCAGAAACCCTGCTCACCACTCTTCTCCGACTGGCGCGACCAGGGCTGACCAGGGCCATCCGACCGGGGATGCCCACTCGAAAGGAACCAGGGGACGAACGGAGAAAGCAAGCCAGGGCGCATAAGTCAAACCATGATACCAGGGACCATACCCTGTACACCTGCAGGAACAGTACTCTACAACCGCCCTGACACAAACAGTATTATAGGCGCCGACATTTTCCCCTACAGTATTATAGGCGCCGTTAACTCCCATACGGTAAGGCCCCCCACATGCCTCTGAGCATCGATAGTGTTGTGGGCGCCGGGATTTACCGTACCAGGTAAACATGGTGAAACTCCTCACATGCCTCTAGGCATCAATAGTATTTGCAGATACCGACATCTACCATTTCTGAAGAAGGCGACGCAATCTCCCATGTGTGTCTAACATTCTACAGTGACAACCAACAATGTTGTAGGCGCCTACCATTATCTTGTACCTGCCGGCATGGGCAACGAAGCCTAGTAGCATATGTACCCTCACCCTCTCACTTGTAAAGCCATCCCTTTTATCTATAAAAGGGGATGCGCTCCCTCGAACGAAGGAGAGCCTGCTCTAGATTCATTAGATCAACCAAGTTCGCTAGCTCACAACCACAGAACTACCGAGTTCGAACCTCAAGAATACGCTTGAACACTTAGCTCGTGGTGTAGCTCCTGTCACTCTCGGCCCTTCCGACCGAAGCTGACCGGACCTCTCATACACCCCATCTTTCTCCTTCTCGTTTGTTACCCCACTGCAGACTTCGAGCACCTGGGCTCAGGAATAAAGTCACTAACCAACCCAAACTGGACGTAGGGCACGTTACCTGAACCAGTATAAACCCTATGTAATTGAGTGCTAGGCCACCTCCGATCACAACGTACAACAAAACTACAAATATTCACTAGTTGGTCACTTTATGCACCGACAGGGCTGATCCCCAGGAATCCCTTGCACAGCGCAACAAACACCGCCATGTGCTGGATCCTGTTGGGATTAAGATGCTGCAGCTCAATCTTGTAGTAGTGCAGCTGCCCCTAAAGAAATTTGTGGGCAGGGGTCGCGAGCCCACGCTCGTGGAAGTGGGCGAACGACACCACGTAGCCATCGAGCGGTGACAACAAATCCTCATCGTTGGGCAGTAACCACTCCTCGCCCGAGGTCCACGCGCGGAGAAGACCGCGATGGATGAGGCCCTCCATGCACTAGAAGGTGATGTTGGAACGGCACCATGGATCCATTGGAGATGGGGGCGGATGGATGCAGGCTCAACGGTGGCGAAGATGCGAAGGTAGGAAACCTAAGCGTTGGCGGCGGCGGCGTGGCTATGGAGGTAGGGATGCAGGCGTGCGTATGAAACACGGAGGGCTAGCCTTTTGGTTTTATAGGGGCGATGGATGCGAGGAAACCAACCATCCACCTAGATCTCCGCGCCTGCCACGACCTGTCACCATGACTCGTCGCGGAGCGTGCGCACGCAACCTATGGTCATCCCCTCAAAAACACGCTGGACGTTTTGCCTCCCCAAATGGGCCACGACCCATCACAGGTAAAAGGGATAGGGAGCTGAAAAGGCTCCTACGGCCCATCTAGGCCCAGGAGTTTGAAGGTTGGCCCACCGACAGGTTCGACAACCGCTCCGGGCACTTTTAGAGTGAGGGGTGGAAAGGGATGGGCCTGCTAGCGGCCAATACCCGGGCGCACGAGCACCGCGGGCACCTCGGCACACGTTCAACCCTCGGACGGATACGATCCATGGTTTTTCCTCGAAGAAAGGCAGAGAGCCCTCAGGACCGATCGAACGGACCTGAGAACTATTTGGATTGATAGCTGAGAATCTGGAATTGGTCACCAGCTAACCCAAGTCGAACCCCTGTGAATGGGATGCTGGGGCCCCACTCGAACTAGCCCGTTAACAACTCACCAAGCACCATGGCTTGTCCATAGAGGAAAATCATGGCACGGCTTAGCCCCTCTATTTTTATTAGAAAAAATGCTTGAGGAAAGACGACTGCGAAGATGAGCTGACCCTCGACCGGACCCCTGCTACGTGTGGGGGCCCGAGGAAAGTTGGACTCACAAGGAGACCGAACGCATGGTCGCAGAACGATTGACCCCCGTAGGGGTCGAAATCAGAAAAACCTTTTCCGATCCACCAAATCTCACGGCTATACCCCCGAGAGGCTCGATCATGATGAAAGGGAATCACCGTCCCCAGGACACGCCGTGGGCGACAAGAAAAGGCCAAGGCCCTCAGAGTCCTCCCGTTCGAAAAAGCCTCCGAAGGAGTATTCTACTCCTCCGCAGATCAGAGGCTACTATCAGGGACCAATACTAGGGTACCCGAAGAGGATAAGCTAATGACCATTAATATTGATTCATCCGAGCAGTCAAGAGTGCGACTACAGCTCCACCTGACCCTAAGGCCGCAGGCTCCGCCTCGCCCGACCCTTGTGTTTGTGCTCCGCCTTGTCGAACCTCTAGGGGCGGGCTCCGCCTCGCCCGACCCCTGAGGCCGCGGGCTCCGCCTCGCCTGATCCTGGGGTTTATGCTCCGCCTCGCCCTACCTCTGGGGGCGGGCTCCGCCTCACCCGATGGGGACTCATACCACCGCCAACCACTCTAGGTCCAAACGTATGGGCCTGGGTCAAAACTCTGACACCAAGGAAGAGACCGGCACGCCCCGATATAACCCATGGCTATGACGGGCCATACCCGAGGATTCACATCAAGAACAGCGTCGGGCGTACCAGTGCTGTTCTGCCTAACCCCCATACAAACGCTGACAGGCGCGTCAGCTTACCACGACGTCCGCTGCGATGGAATGGAACGCCATGATCGGCAGACGACGCCTGCGCATGGCGCCAGTAACGGACAGGGCCGCGACACGGAGCTGTCCCTGTTGACATCTGCAGGGTCGATGAGACCCGCATGAAAGATAAGAAGGATCCGACGATCCTGAAGGACTTCTTCTCTCTCTCGTTCTTCTCTTTTTCTCCGCTGTAATCCGTGCTTTTTCTTGGCCTATAAAAGAGAAAGCATGGCGTTCTCACTCGTGGCCGATCCGATTAAAACCGATCAATCGAGATCGACACAAGAAGCACGACACGAGCACTCGGCTAAGCAGTAATCGAGCTCTCAACACCCGTTCACTCCCTTCACAAGAGACTTGGGATCATTTTCCTCTCTCACCCGTTTGCACTCCTACTACAAACTTTCAGTGCCAGTAACACGAGCAGCAGCGACAAACTGGACGTAGGGACTTTCTGCCCGAACCAGTATAAACCTCGTGTCCTTTAAGCACACTATCCGAGCCAGACGCGCAATAATATAAATTTACTCCTCGGTGGTAACTCGAGACACCGACAAGTACAATCAGTGCACATCTCATAAAACTGGTTTGGCTGCATCTCTGAAACCGATTAACAGCCTTTTTTGAAAGTGAGACAAACAAGGAAAATTAATACTAGTACACGCCTTTTTTAACGAAAATGGTTGGAGCAAGTAGTGTCATCCAAGCCCATTGAAAGCCCAACTCGTTATGTGAGCCCATCTGTATACAATATACCCGCCGCTTCGTCACTCGTCAATCGTCATTACTCGATCTCCCGCTCGGCTGCTCTCCACACGGGGTGACGAGTGACGCTCCCCTCCGTCCCTTCCACTTCCGAAACATTTCGAATTCCTCAACCCCCGAAAGGGCGAAAACCCGAACGCCTCCAAAAATTTTCCCGCCCCAACCGCTCGAACCCTAGCCTCATCACCGGCTGGCGACGCCTCGCCGGCGGCCGGCGAGATGCACATCAAGGAGGTAACCCTCGAGGGATTCAAGTCGTACGCGGGGCGGACGGTGGTGTCGGGGTTCGACCCGCTGTTCAACGCCATCACCGGGCTCAACGGCTCCGGCAAGTCCAACATCCTCGATTCCATCTGCTTCGTGCTCGGCATCACAGATCTCCGCCAGGTGCGCGCCACCTCGCTCCAGGAGCTCGTCTACAAGCAGGGCCAGGCCGGGGTCACCAAGGCTACCGTCTCTATCGTCTTCGACAACTCCGACCGCTCCCGGTCCCCGCTCGGCTATGAGGACTCGCCCGAGATCACTGTCACGCGCCAGGTTACACATCCCTTCGCCATCTTCGTTATCCCATGCGGCCTTCTGAAGCGTATCCTTGCTAGTGCGCGTTTGAGTTCCTTGGGGGATTTTTAGGTGATTTTGGGCTTGCCGCACAATTTTGGTTTGCATATTCTCGAATTCGGCACTGATGTGTCATACTGGATTAAGATGCTGCCCTCTGAAGAGGAGCGGCTGAATGAGGTGGTTTCGGGTAAAAGGAGATGGTGATTTGCGGCATCTGGAGCTGGAATTTTGAGGAGATTGTGTGCTTTAATCCTTCACGTCTCTAAGTTGTTGAATTTCTTCATACCAGGGTTCAATTATTTGTGTGCTGTTTTAGTTTCTGTGAACTGGAGTCATTTTTATTTTTTGTACACTGAAGGGTTGGAGACGGTGATTCTGGAGTTTGAATTTCGATTTGAAGTACTTTTTGTTTCTTTGCTAAAAACGGTAGCTAATTGAGGTTTAGTGGCTGTTCAATATGTTCATCCAAGTGCTCAACTGGATGTGTTTCTTAGGTTTTGTGTATTCAGAGTTGATCAAGTTAGTTCTGTTCATGGGAGTTTGGAATTGCTAATCTGCTATGCGTGCTGAATTTTTTTATATCTGTGTCTGGCTTGCTGTTTTTTCAGTCAAATATGTCTAGCTTTCTATTTTTCCAGTCAAACACATAGTTGATGTGTATGAATCTGGAGTTTTGTTAATGTCTGTACTAGCTGACCTACTTTTAATCAGAGATTGCAAATTTGCTATGAATGTTGATGTGTAATGTGGCCACCTGATTCATTTTAAGTCAAACACTTAGTTGATGTATATGGATCTGGAGTTCTGTTAATGGGTGTTCTAACCACTGATTAATTTTTCTTAAGAGTATAATCAGGGACTGCGAAGTTGCTTATAATAGAACTGAATTTGTTCTGATTTTGTTGATGCTCAATGCCTCAATCTAGCCAACACATTTTTTAGTCAAATACTTCGTTTCTCAATGGTGTGTGTGGATGTTTTGTGCCCAGTGATTCATGACATTATTTGCAGCTAAAATTTTGAAATTATTTTAGGTCCAGGAGTTTAATTTGACTGAAATGGTGCTATTTAGGTTGATGTGGAGTGATGCTTTTGTTGGTTGATCTGGTTAGTTTTAGATTGCAATATATGAAGCTATATTTTCTATTTTATTTCAAGGTTGTTCTAGATGATCCATTTGTTGAGTCGAACACTTGTCTATTGGTGGTGTATGGACAGTATGCTTGCATTTTTGTTAATATGTTAGATATGTATCTAGCACAACTGAAGTACATATGTTGGCTGTTCATCTCATTTGCTTGATTAATTCGTAAAATGGCTAATAGATCGGCTTCCGTCGTATGTTCTTTTGCACTTTGATTCCACCATTTTTTTCAAAAAGTTTTGTGTTGTTTCTGGTGGACCAAATTTGTCCCAATTTTACTGGGCATCAGTTAATCGTTGTTGTCCTATATTTGTAGATTGTTGTTGGTGGAAGGAACAAATACCTTATCAATGGCCATCTTGCACAACCATCCCGGGTCCAGACCCTTTTCCACTCAGTGCAGCTTAATGTAAACAATCCTCATTTTCTAATTATGCAAGGGCGCATAACAAAAGTGCTGAACATGAAGCCTCCAGAAATTTTGTCCATGTTAGAAGAGGCAGCAGGCACAAGAATGTATGAAATGAAGAAAGAATCTGCTCTTAAGACACTTGAGAAGAAGCAGAATAAAGTTGATGAGATTAATAAACTCCTTGATGTTGAAATCCTCCCTGCACTAGAGAAGCTTAGAAAGGAGCGGTGCCAATACATGAAATGGGCCAATGGCAATGCTGAACTGGATAGGCTCAAACGATTTTGTATTGCCTATGAGTTTGTTCAGACCGAGAGAGTGCGAGATGGTGCACTCAATGATGTCAAACAAATCAGGGCAAAGATTGATGAGCTGGATGAAAATACAGAAAAGATAAAAGCAGATATACAAGAAATGGACAATAACATTTCTACCTTGGCTGCTGAAAAAGAAGCTAAACTAGGTGGTGAGATGAAGCTTCTGTCAGATAAAGTGGATAAATTATCACATGTACTTATCAAGGAAACTTCTGTGATGAATAATCAAGAGGAAACCCTGAAGTCTGAGGAAAAGGGTGCTGAGAAGGTAACACTACACTGATGTCAGTTACTAGACATGCTAACTTTTTTTTTTTGAATAGCTTACAAGGTTTGCATTATACATTTCACATGTAGATTCTCACAAACATTGAGGACATAAAAAGGTCTATACTCGAGAGAGATGCTGCTGTAAAAAATGTAGAGAATGAGGCGTCTGATATGAAAAAAAGAGCAGAGGAGCTCACAAAGGAGTTGGATGAGAAGGAGAAAGAATACCAGGTATGTAAAGGGTGACATCTTTAAATGTAATGTACTAAATATTAACAATTTAACATATAGCCTCTTGGTTCTGTGTACTCTGGGATATTAAATTTGTTTTTGCCCAGGGTGTGCTAGCAGGAAAAAGCAGTGCAAGCGAGAAGAAATGCCTTGAAGATCAGCTTAGAGATGCAAAAGCTGCAGTTGGAGATGCAGAATCTGGACTAAAGCAGCTAGCCACAAAAATAAAACATTCTGAAAAGGAGTTGAAGGAGAAGAAAGTTCTGTTAGTGTCCAAGCGTGATGAGGCTATTGCAGCTGAGAATGAGCTGAAAACAAGGACAAAGGACTTGGATGGTATCAAGGCATCCATGGGATCTATAAACTACGATGAGGGCCAAATGGAAGCTTTGCAAAAGGTATACACTGGTGAAGCTAAAAAGTGTTGATGTGGAAGCTATACTTCTGATTGTTGACTATTTTTATTTTTTTGTCCTGACCATCCACAGGACCGTTCTACAGAGTTAGAAATTGTTCAGAAATTAAAGGACTGTGTTCGTAAGCTTTCTGGTGAGCTTGCTAATGTTCACTTCAGTTATCGAGACCCTGAAAGGAATTTTGATAGATCAAAAGTCAAAGGGGTTGTTGCACGTCTTATTAGGATTAAGGATAGCTCAACAGCTACAGCACTGGAGGTTCGTATCAGCAAACTCCTCTCTGCTTGCTTGAAGTTAATTCTCATTTTTACTGATGGAGTTGGTCTAGTCATCCTGGTTCAATTATTAGTTAAATATTGCAGGTTGCCGCAGGTGGGAGGTTATTTAATGTGGTGGTTGACACAGAAGAAACTGGAAAGCAACTATTAAAGAATGGGGATCTACGAAGTAGAGTAACCATCATACCTTTGAACAAAATCCAAACATACATGATACCTGACAGAGTTCAGCAGGCAGCTCGTAGACTGGTTAACATCCCTCCCCCCCCCCACTCTTTTGTTATACTGGTGGATGTAGCCTTTTGGTTATTGATGACTTGTCTAAATGAGAAGTATATACTGATTGCTTTGTAGGTTGGTCCTGACAATGTAACGTTAGCTCTAGAATTGGTTGGATATGGTGAGGAAGTAAAGGTCGGTATCTCCAACTATTCTGTTAATTTTTGAGAAATACTAATGATTTACTCTTGCACATTTATGTACATCATGTCTAGCAGTGTTTTGTTGTTTTCCTCAAAGGTTCAAACTTAAGATTGACAATCATTCTGCATCACATGTGTCGTTCAAAATTTTGTTGTAACCCAAATCTTAAGATTACATGCTTCTGGCTATCTGTTTCATAGATATCTTCATATCTTATTGCAGAATGCCGTGGCTTATGTCTTTGGCTCAACATTTGTGTGTCGTAATACGGATGCGGCAAAAGAGGTAGTGTTGCGTCTTCAGGAATTTGGTTAATATAGTATAATTTAGTTCAATCTGTATACAAAGTGTAATTCAAAATATGTGGTTGATAGTGTTATTGTTAATTGTTTTTTTGATATAGGTTGCGTTTAATAGGGAAGTTAGCAGTACTAGTGTGACTCTTGAGGGTGACACTTATCAGCCTAGTGGTCTTTTGACTGGAGGTAGTAAAGGGTAAGTTACCAATATAATATTTTACTTAATGCTAGTGTTTTGACTTGATCAGCTTTTTTGTTAAATTAGTATTCAATTTTCCTTTTGCATTCTTGTTGTTTGAATAATACAAATGCTTTTCTATGAAGAACAGTATTTTTCAAGCTTCTTCTAAGTATCCTTAGGAGGGAAATACACATTAGATTCTCTGATCGTCTTGGTTTGCTGGGTGATAGATGAAATTTGCACCATAGATGCCTGTTTTTGGCTTGTCATTTTTCTTACTGTGTCTAATTAAATGGTTTGCCAGACAGTCAAAATGTCTGTCCTGTGGTCAGATAAAGACATTCATCATTTTCCTTGGTAACGTATACCATAATGATGCAGGGGTAGAGGGAACTTGCTAAGGAAACTCGACGAACTAGCTAAAGCTGAGGCTGATCTATCCGATCATGAGAAAAGGCTCTCTGTCATTGAACAGCAGGTATTCTGCAAATGCACAGTGTCCACACATGAATTTTATTATTCTTATTACTGTTTGAATTCGAATGAATTTATTTGCTGGATAAAAAATATACATGTCCTACTAACCACCTTTTGCGGTTTTGCCTTTAAACTGCTATTTTGATCTGTTATAGGAGCTTGTAAATTCATCAATATTTATGTTTCCTCATGAGTTAAGAAAGTATACCGTGAGACATGAATGCACATTTGAACTATCGAATGGAAAGACCTTTTGCTTGCAAAGTAATTCTTGTAATGGGACACATTCTTTGATGCCGTTGGCATTTACTCTGTACTAACTATTTGGTGTCATAAATATTGATACTTTTTAATATAAACTTAGTCAAACTTATGAAGGTCATTCTTTTTTGGACAGAGGTAGTGGTATGCACTATGCATTGTTTTTGAGGCGTCGCCTAGGCGACAAGGCGTGCCCAGGGTGCTGGGCGTCGGGGTCGCCACGACATGCGTGCGTATGGCGTCCGCCATATGAGATTAGGCGTCTATTAGGCGTGGAAAGGCGTCGGGCGAGCGCCTAGAGGCCTGTGGCGGACGCCGGAGCAGCAAGTCGAGAGGAAGACGGAATCGGGCGGGGAATCGAGCGGACGCAATGAAATCTGGCGGGAATTGACCGCATCACGTCTGCGCTAGAAGGAAAAGGGCGGGAATCAACTTTAGCCTACCCCAACTTGTTTGGGACTTAAAGGCTTTGTTGTTGTTGTTGTTGTTGTTGTATATATTAAGATGATCGTATGGCGTCGCTTAGGCGTCCGCCATAAACGCCTAGGCGTTGTGAAGGGGGTACGGCGCCGCGCGTCACCGCAGCGCCTCAAAAACAATGGCACTATGATAGAAATAGAAATTTCATCTCTTGTCAATTGAGTGATCTATTGTGCTGGTCACTATCAGTTATCTCTCTTCATTGCAACTGCAACATGTTATATGTTGGTTATTTAAATTATGCTACATTTCATTTTCTAGATTTTTCTAATTTATTACCCCCCTCCTCTCCCAGATTGGAGCCCTTTTGCCATTGCAGAAAAGGTACACTGAGTTGAAATCTCAGTTTGAACTCAAGTCATATGATCTCTCGCTATTTCAGAGCAGAGTTGAGCAAAATGAACATCACAAGGTTTTTGCTTACACAATCGATATGCTTGCCTTACCTTAGTAAAAGCTTCAACCTAAAATAACAGTTTTTGTATTTGGGCTTCAGTTAGGTGAACTTGTAAAGAAAATTGAACAAGAGCTTCAAGAATCAAAACAAGAGTTGACAGAAAAGGAAGTGCAGCATGAAAAATGTGTGTCTACAGTTTCTGAGTTAGAAAAAACTATCAAGACTTATGGCACTGAACGAGAGGGCAGACTCAAAGCGCTGGAGAAAAGGATCAAATCAATTAAATCAGAGATGCAGTCCATGTCAAAGCAACTTAAGGTTGTTTACTTTCCTTTTCTTGCCACCATTCGAGGACTCGATCTATGGGATAGTTGTTGGAGAATTCTGGATGTTGACCCTGGACCTTGTTGGTGTGACTTAGGAGTCATGATTGGCTACTGCATTGGCTATGCAGGCATAAAAGAAACTGGAGGCGATGGTCAATCTGATTGCTTAATTGCAACATACTGCCAATTTTCCCCTACGTAGAGCTAGTCTGGCAGTAAATAACTTCATCTAATTGGTCTCTATCTTTTCTGTAAGAACTTGCTAATTCAAAGCAAAAAAGATTAACTAACTGAAGAGCAGGGGGTAGATCCATCGGGTGGGGCTCAAGCCCCACTGCTGCTTCTACAACCATGGAACCCCCTTTGCACGTGGGGTAATTTTACAATAGCAAAAAAGATTAACTAACTGAACAGGAGTATTATTTCTTGATACGTACTCCCTCTGTTCCACATTATAGGTCACTGTAGCTTTGTCCTAAGTCAAACTTCTTTAAATTTGACCCAAGATTATAGGGAAAAAATACACTTAACATCTACAACATCAAATTAGTTTCATTAACCTATAAAATATGTCTTGATAGCGCAATTATTTTGAAATTTAGATGTTAATACGTTTTTCTGTAAACTTGGTCAAAGTTAGAGATGTTTGACTTAGGACAAAACTAAATTGACATATAATTTGGAGCAGGAGTATTTTTGGTTAGGTGAAGATAGGTAGGATATTTTCTCAAAGCTGCATAGAGTTGAAAATTATGAATTTCATCCATTACCATGAGTTAGTTGCAAACTCTTTAGTAAGATATGTTTACAATTAACTATGTGGTCAGCTTTGATGAAGAGGCTGGACATCTTTCATAAGCAACATATTAAGATCAGTCCTGTTGAATTTCTACTCTGATAGTGGCCATGACTTGATTCTTTTATGTTTACTTCAACAGTCATCCTGACAATTCAATCTTTAATATATCCCATATTTAGGCTTATGAAAGTGACAGGGAGAGGCTGATCATGGAGAAAGATGCAGTTGCTAATGAGCTTGCTACACTGGAAGAGCAGTTAACAACTTCAAAAGCTCAAATTACTTCTCTGTCTGAAACCTTGGAAAAACAAAAGGACAAGGTTGTGCAAGATGCTTTTTTATAGTTACTTTGTACTTGGTGTTGTTACTGAGCTTTGCATTTAATTAGTTAAATAAATATGCTTTGTGTTCATGAAACACAGGTTACTTCCATAAAGCAAGATTATGATCAAGCTGAAAGTGAGCTCAATGTTGGGCGTTCTAAACTGAAGGAATGTGACTCACAGATAAACCATATGGCCAAGGAACAGCAGAAACTTCAGCAGAAGTTAAGTGATTCAAATGTTGAAAGGAAGAAAATGGAAAATGAGGTAGTTCCTGGTTCTAATCTCTGCTGCATTTTCTACTTTATAATTTATTGCTTGAACATGCTTTAATACCTGATAATAACATATTAGGTTAAGAGGATGGAGATAGAGCAGAAGGATTGCTCTTCAATAGTTGATAAGCTAGTGGAGAAGTATAGCTGGATTGCAACTGAGAAACAGTTGTTTGGGAAAAGCGGTACAGATTATGATTTTCAATCTTGTGAACCACATAAAGCCCGCGAGGAACTTGAAAATCTTCAAGCTCAACAATCCAGGTATATCTGATATTTCTATTGGCTCCATAATTCACTACAAACCATCATATTACTCCCAACATTTAAAAAAATTTAGGGCAAGTTGCTAGTGCTACTGAATAGCTGTACCCATATCATCTCCTCAGTTCTGTAATTTGCAATGTATTCACCAATCGTTGTTACCTGCCTGCAGTCTTGAGAAGAGGGTCAATAAGAAAGTTATGGCAATGTTTGAGAAGGCAGAGGATGAGTACAATGATTTGATGTCAAAGAAAAACATCATCGAGGTATGTCCTATCATGTACAGTTTTCTTGATAGCCTGAAAATAGTTTTGATATCCGGACAAAAACCTTTTTGTCATCTGCAGAATGACAAGGCAAAAATCAAGAAAGTGATAGAAGAGTTGGATGAGAAGAAGAAGGAAACCTTGAAAGTCACATGGCTCAAAGTAAACAAGTCAGTATATGAATCCTTTAGTGACTTATTATATATCCCAGCAGATGCACTGTCCCTTTAAATGTTGTTGAAGATGTCTCTTACTCATAAATGTGCAAATTGGAGTCTAACTCCTACATTCTGTTTCTATAGGGATTTCGGATCTATATTCAGTACTCTTTTACCTGGTACAATGGCAAAACTTGATCCTCCAGAAGGTGGCACTTTCTTGGATGGTCTTGAAGTTCGTGTGGCATTTGGGACAGTTTGGAAGCAGTCTCTATCTGAACTTAGTGGAGGGCAACGGTCCCTTCTTGCTCTTAGTCTTATCCTGGCTCTGCTTCTTTTTAAACCTGCACCACTTTACATATTGGATGAGGTATCTTTGAATATGATTTACTATTCAAATTCCTTACCACTGCAATATACTGTTCTTGAACTAGTATAACTTTGCTGTATTTGGAAGAATGAGATGGTGCTGCAAGTAAATATGTTAGGCAGTTTTCCAGAAGCAGATTCATTGAAACTTAGGCAGCTTTGGGATGTTGAAGCTCAATACTTTATTTTTTTTAGATTTAGATCAGATGCTAAAAAATGTTTGAACGTTGGACAAAATTAGTCATTGGTTGTGATAATGTAGACTAGAGCAACAATTTAGAGCACAAGTTCATCTCATCTAGGCAAATCTTAACCTTGCTCTATTTTATAAACAGTATGGTGAAGACTGAGTATATATTCAGAGTACGTATTAGAATGGAATGTTTTATTATTGTACCACTGCAAGTTAGTCTCATGCTAGGTCTCAGTTGTTGGGTAATTTGAATTTGCTCTAGAAGGTATGACTTAAACTGAGAACTGGAAAATGATGCTGAGCGGTACTTGGTGTTTTTGTTCACATGGATAGATTTGTTTAGAAAACTTCTATCTAGTCAGGGATTGGGCAAGGCAATTTTATTATGACACTTATTATAGTCTTGTATGTCTGATGCCTCAAACGTTTGTAGTTTGTAGATTGGTGCTGAGAGTCTGAGACTGACCATTTTCAACTGACTGATGTTCATGCACTGCAGGTTGATGCTGCTCTTGATCTGAGCCACACCCAAAACATTGGTAGAATGATCAAGGCTCATTTTCCGCACTCTCAGGTAATATATAATCCTGCTTACTAGTTTGGTAGTGCATTTTAATATGTAGTAGGTAAACTGTGTTTTGAAAGGCAATTAACTATCTACATAATGTGTCGCTTACGATTACTGATTTGTGACAGTTGAATTCCTTGTGTATCAATTCAGATGCTCTGGTCTTTGTGTTCAGACAGTTACAACATTAAGTTCTGAAAGTTTGAACTATTGGTTTATTTTTTGCAGTTCATAGTTGTCTCTTTAAAAGAGGGTATGTTCAACAATGCCAATGTGATATTCCGAACAAAATTTGTTGATGGTGTGTCCACTGTGACACGTACAGTGCCTTCAAAACAGAGATGATCAGTTTACACAGCGTGCACATTCTGAAGGTATGTTCTGAACCAAAACTAGGCATATAATTCCAAATCTGTCATTTAAGAAGCTGCTATAATAAAACATTTCCTGTTGTTTATTCTGCCAGGAGAACTATATTCCATGAAAGCTGAACCCTACAATTACTTGATGCTGTGACGGCTTGATGCCTCAAGCACCTCGCTTGTCAGGCAATGGCATCAAAATAGGTGGTAACTGTAACTTCATGCCATGACGTTCATGATGACCTTGACTGCCTTCTACGTTATGCACTTTCATCTGACCCAAATGTGTAATTAGCGGTTGAACTATTTTGTGTTGAAGATCGACCATGTAATATTATGTAACAAAGCATTTATTATCAGGGTCAGGGATACTTTTGACTTGCTAACTTACCTTTTATTCTTATTTCTAATTTTTTATGCGCCCTCCCCCTATTTTCGACTTACCTTTTATTACTTTGGACAAAAAAATTGTCATATTTCCAATTTAGCTATTTAGCAATGTTCTAAACAATCATTCATTTTACCATTTAGTTATTAACATTTGGTTTAACAGGCTAAATGGCCAATTGAACAGAAATGGTGTAGTACTTTGTAGCATATAGGCATTGATTAAGGGCTTGTTTGTCAGGGCTTCTCTCCGACTTCGGCTCTGGCTCCTGCGGTGGAGCCTTGCTAAACGTTTTTCCTGGATGGGCTGTTTTCGGTAAAAACCAGAAGAGGAGTCATTTTAGAGGCCAAAACGTCTCCGGCTCCTTTGGAGGAGCCTCTCAAGAGGAGCCGTGCCAAACACCCTCTAAATAGGCTATATTATCGTTTAGGTGAACCGTGCTATTTAGTGACGACTAAGATATGGTGCTGAAATAAATTAAGTTTGATAGTGCTAAAAAAAGAGTCATAAATGATATCATTTTTATAGAATGATTCCTCAAACGAGGATTTTTGCATCTGTTTCCATCCCTAGTGCGAGTGTTTCCTCTTTGATTATCTGTTTTTTTTTTAATTTAGGGGAAGTGCACTATTATATATTTATATCAAAATCGCATGAGTAAAACATGTGATTACACTAGACATCTACCACTATGGAGGGTACAATCTCTTGCTAAGTTTCTTCGCTGCACAGACAATCGAGTTGGGTAGCTCTGGGCATGATCTACAAATCAGCCTCTTGTTACTTTGATCGCTTCTTTTCGTCTATATAAACGGTCTTTCAGTCTATATGTGCAGTGTCCTAAAACTGCTCAATTTAGGATACTTGCCTTGTTCAAGTGGCAACATTCCTGTCAAGTAAGTTTCAGGAATCCCGGCATGCGAAACTTGAACCCTCCTGACACATCCTTACCACTGATCATCCTTCCTTTCCTCTCTCTCCGCAACCTGAGTTGCCCTCATCAAATTTGCATCAGAACATGTTACGATCAAATGGGAGAGCACAGGGGCTGAGACTGAATGAAGGCTTGGTAAGCCTCTACTAAACAAGTAAACGATGCAAATTTATTGTACACCTGACCATGGTAAGCCTCTACTGAACAGGTAAACGATGCAAATTTATTGTACACCTGACCAAAACATAGTAAGCACCCACTGTTCCTTCACAAAGAGGAAAGAACAACTACATACATCATGAGGATTGAAGGCGCCTGTCCACTTGTCCAGTTCCAATTTCCAACTAGTCAATCAACTCCAGTATATGAACGTTTTTTTACTTTCATCACTCCTTTGCATCACGGTTATTGTTGGTCACTAGTTAATGGTATTCTTGCGTTGTGTCTTCACATCTCAAATGCTCAATTGAGCAGCTTTGTTACATGGCAGGAAAGCCTGATGGAGCAACCCATGCGTCAAGATGTGAGGCTGTCTAGAGACTGTTCCTCCGTCATTTCTTTCTCTGGGGATCGCGACTTAGACTGTGCTTTCTCAAAGTTTTGATGTAACTTCTCATCAGACTGAATTTGTTCGAACCCAGGTGGTGCAAGTAATCCCATGTGAAGATCCCTGTCTTGTGCAAGTCATCAAAGAGTATCCTACACGCAAACAACAGCAGGTCATGAACCAGGCATGCAAATAAAAACAGAACTTTTTTTTTGTCTTTATTTGATAGATAGATAGAAATGGCACAGTTGACTTCTGCAATATGACTGAGAACTGAGAAAAACATGCTATGAAACAGGACAACCCTCACCGGACTCCGTAGTTTCCTACTGATTCAGCTGACATTATCCCAACATGTCGTCGCCCAAATATAACCTGATCAGACATAATTTCCACTGTAAAACTCAGAATTTTATGGAAACCGCAGACCCAGTACAAGGTATTAATCTCCAAAGATGTCAACAAATATTTTATATGAATGATCTGCAGTCATAAATTAAAGAGTAATATCTCTGCAAATTTTCAGATTCATTCACAGAAAATTTACCCTTCAAAAGGCTATATGAGCAAAATTTTCCCCTTACAGCAATGACAATGAAATATTCGTAATTCGTAAACAGGAAAACTGCTGTTTGGGATAATAATAAAAAACTCAAGAAAACCTACTGTGACATGGAGTGTGTAAAGTATACTAGAAATTACCTTTTCACCACCTACTGAACGGATTTTGCTATCAGCTGCTGGGCTGTATACTCTGAGAAATTCTGCTGACAGATGAAATGAGCTACCATCAGCGAATTCGATTTCAACCTGGGATGAACTAGAAATTAGATAAATTCAAAACAGATACACAGCCCATACCCCAAATGAACCAGGCAAACCAATGCCAGAGTAAATTTCACAGCACGTTTGTAAGAGTGGCCAATTGGGAAAGAGGCCCTTGTAATTTGAAGACAAATATGCATGTCAACAATAGCGGTGTTCGAAGGTTACCATGTTCAGAAAATTACACATTCCTGTGATGTTGCAGCAATCAGGATACACATGCCAACTTATCTCGTTCACCAGCAAATAATCTCATGCAGTGCTACGTTGTTGATGATATGTCCATCAACTGGGCAGCAGTTGTCAGCTAGTAGTAGTTAAGTGCCAGGCTACCAGCTAAGATGTACAGGCCAATTTCTTCAAGATAAGATGCATATATGGTCCTAAAATATGGATGTGATAAGGTCATATTTGGAAACAGTAAGACAACTGAATAAGACCAGAACTCCAAAAACGACGCCGGAGAACAGTTCCCATGACATTGACTGGGAGCTATGTCCTGATCACACATGGTCTCACACGAAATTCAGCACAAGAACGATTTCTGTTCACATGGTCTGCATGCCCGAAATAGCATTTTTACTAATATTTCGCAATCGAGCACTCACAGGTGAGCAATAAGGGAACATTTTGTTTTGCTTGCACGCATGATAAACAAAGAATGCACGCAATATTTGAGTACCTGCAAAGCTACTCCTTGAGGTGACAACAACAATCAGGTGAAGTCAGACCGCAGAACACAGTGGCCCCGCGCGATGTTGTGAATTTGGCCTTTCAGCCGAGGACGGTACTCTAGATTAGATCACACTAAACTTAACAACATCCAGTATCCACCACACGAGCAGTAGAGAGCCGCAGGAATCAGGTAAGACCTGAGGTAGGCAGGACCTACGGAGGAGGAGGAGGAGGCGCTGGTCGTCTTGGAAGCGGAGACTCACGGATTTGGGCGGGTGCAGCGCGAACTTCGTCAGGCGCGGGGGCTGCGCCGCCGCCGTGTGCAGCCGCCGGACCACGGCGCCCAGTGCAGCCGCCATAGACGAATGCGGGATATGGAGGGAGGGAATGGGAAATGGGAAGGGATGGAAATCTCTTCCGCTGTTTGGTTCGTAGGAATGGGAAATAGGGAGGGAGAAGGATATACTGACAAGCCCTTCTCGATACCTAACCCGCCCCCATCCGTGCACCCTGCCCCCTCCTCATCCGTTAGCCCCGTCCCTATCCCCGTACGTTCGCCCCACCTCCCCCGCAAACTATTTCCCGACTTTAAACACCAGTAAACACGTGTAACATGAAACACTTAAATGTAACGTATATCTGAAATAAATGAAACATCTAGAATATACACTTGCAAATTATGTGTGAAAAAATATGCAACATCCAGATAAAACTCTTGTAACATGAAAACACTTGCTGCAACAGAAGACTAAAACGGATGAAATATTTTAGAATATACTGTTGCAATATATATGTGAAAACATATACAACATCCATATAAAAAATACTTGCAACGTACGTCTGAAAACAGATAAAACAATTTGAACAAATACTTTCAACATGCCTTTGAAACACTTGCAACATCCTCGATCTACTTTTACAACATCCATATAAAATAATTGCAACATGTGTCTGAAACAATTTGGAACTTACATTTCCAACATATTGGGGGAGAGAGGCATGTGCCTGTCGATTCCGGCGACGGGGTGGGAGTCAGCGACGAGCGGCTACGCGCAAGCACCGCCCAGCACCAGCACCAGCGACGCGCACGAGCACCACCACCACCAGCGCCACCGGCACCGGGCTTGGCTCAGTTGCGATGGTGGGGGATGGTGGGTGGGGAGCACCATGGCTGCTGGGGTGGGGGAGCTCGGTCGCCGGGGTGAGAGAGGGCACCGCTGGGTGGGGAGGGCGCAGCGCCGGGATGGGGAGAGCCGTCCATCCCCCTGCAACACCGCCACGCCACCTCCACGGATCTCGCTGAAGACGAGTGGATCTCGCTCGTGCTCCGTGGATCTCGTCGGGGTGGGGTCTCGGCCACGGGATTTGCGGGATTGGGGGCTCCCGGTGAGGACGCCGGGGTGGGGGAGGACATCAGGCGTTGGTACGCTGCGACAGGGGATGAGGAGCGCGGAAGGGGTAAGGATGGAGAGGAGGAAGCGAAGGGATAGGTTTTTTTAATGTACATACAGGCGGGAGCAAGCGACGGAGGTAAAAAAGCCGTCTGACGTTTGTGCGGTCCATATGACGCACAACAAGTAGCATTTCCCATAGAGAAACGACTCAACGAGGGCTTTTTTTTTCCCTATCGAATATATCCCGGGCATAGACGAATGACTTGATGAAAACCGATCGATTGGAGCGGTCGAGCGGATACTATCTCATGTTATAATTCGTTTTTCTTTATCAGATTCGGTTCGGAGCAAATAATACGCGGTTACGGATGTGGATGCATATTTTTCAGATGTCGGAAATGGTATGAATATGAAGCGGAATCAGATTGGAGACGAATAAAAATAATTGTGTAATATATGCATACATAGAGAATTGTATATTTGTCAAGAGTTAATTCAGTAACGAGCCAATAGCAAACAATAGACAATAGTCTTGCATTGGATTCTATTTTGTGGCTATTACACCGACACAATTAAACATTTGACAGGATATCAGCACTCACAAATGATAAGTTATAAGCCAATGAGTAATAATAGCTTGCAAGTTATCAGTTCAGAATATCAACCTATTCGCTTGTTGGTTTCAGCCAGCCCAAACCAACCAGCCAACAGTGTTTTTCTCTCAAAAAAACCAGCACCAGCCAGCCCAAACCAGCACCAGCACCAACCAGTGAACAGGCCCGAAACAAACACATCACAAAATAAAAAGTTCTCAACTGACAAGCCTTTTCTAAATCCCAAGTTCAGCTAGTTTTTTATTCTAGGGTGACAATTATTGAATATCCTATTTTAAATATCGGATAGTCCGTATAAAATTTATGGATAATCCATATCCTACCACGCATCCGCACATAGTCGGACTCCACTTATTCATATCTATATAGATATTAAAATTTCTTCTTCACATCCTCAAAATTTAGATTTGGATCGGATCGAAGAATTATCCATGTCACTTTCATCCCTGTTTATCAGATCTCATGCACGTCTTCTTGATGTTATATTTGAGATGCAAAAAAAAACAAAAACAAAACAGGCGCAATAGGGTAAAAAAAAGTGAAATCAGCAATTGCATAATAGTGGGTTGCAGATAAAACATAAAATAATATAATCCACAACTATTCAAGTGTTAGTTTTTGTGTTCTTTATCTTCTTGCACAAATATTTGTTGCACTCCAAAATTTACATGATGGTAGTGTACTACATGAACTATCGAACCATAGAATTAGTTGCATTTTGGTGCATGTAACTGATGCAACTACATGTGCAAAAGCACCTGGAATGTTCTCTTATCCTCAGTATAATACCTCCAAAGGCAGTGTCTAACCGGGTTAAGTTATCGTGGATTATTTACTGCTGGCTGGTTTAGTGTGAGAAAAAAATACTGTTCCAGCTTATAATCCACGATCGTATACAAGCAAGCGAACATGCTGATATTTTTCTAAATTTATTAGCAAATAATTTATCAATGTCAAAATATAACAATTTAGTATTTCGAATGTGCCCATTTGAATATATTCATATGTCCGCGTGTTCTCAATATATGTACAATTTTGCACTGCTAACCACCCTGTTCAAATAAATAAATGAACAATAGAAATTCACTCTTCCACCTTTTTCTCTTATGTAATTCCCGCTGCAAGGCAAGCAACAAGATAATAAGACTATTTGCGAACTGAGCGTAGCTCAGCTGGTTGGTTTCTTATGGTGGAACTCATCCATCCAGATTTAAGTTCTCGACTTGACACGTGTGCTCGTATTTTTTTTATATTTATTTATTTTAGAATTTAATGATACTATTCTTTCAGTGGTAGCGCGACGTGTCCGTCGACAACGAGGCGCCTGTGAGGGCTTCGTCAATCACAGGGTGTGCTTTTGTGTGTTCATAGGGATAAGTGTGCACTCGACCACTCGTGTATGTGAGTACGTGCGTCTGGGTTTGAAAAAAAAAGATAATAAGACTATTAAAAATAGAATTATACCAAGTAAATAGTCCCACAACGAATAGGATTATCGGTAGCCTCACCGAGTCACCGGAATGCTAGTGCGGTAGTGCCGAGAGGGCGAACCGTCGCCGTCAGCCTCGCCATCTCCTCGCCACTGCATGTGGCGGGCGGGCGTGGTGTGATGCCTTGCTGGCGCACAAATGGCGTTCGCGCACCCTGGTCCCGACACGAAAAAGGGAAAACCCCTCAGCCCTCAGCCCCTCACTAGATCCCTAGTGGGCCAGCCTCGCCGTAGGCCGATCCGCCGACATCCAGTCAGCCACACAACACGCGCCACCGGGCGCGAGAGGAACGGAACGGCGCAGCCGCGGCGGCGGCGGCTGTAAGCTCCCGCACCAGCGACCGTCGGACACGTATATCCATCTCCCCTCGCAAAGTCGCACACACCCGTCCTCGGCCTTGTTCCGTCCGCCAGCAATGCCGCTGGCGCTCGCGCAGCTGCAGGACCTGCGGGACCGCATCTCCGACCGCCTCCGCCCATGGAGCCGCTCCGCGCAGTTCTGGGTCCGCGCTGCGGACATCTACACCAGCTACAAGGTGAGCCAGCTAGCCGCTGCTCCATTGGCGTGCCTTTTATGTGCTCGTTGATATGCCTCTTCTGAGGTGCGGGGGTTTTAATTGCGAATCGCTTTGGTCGGTCCAGGTGTGCCAGCTGCGGGCGGGGTTCGCGAAGGATGAGGACGAGCGGGAGGCCATGTGGGAGCAGCAGCACGAGCTCGGCTCGCAGAAGATGTACTCCCTCTGCTCCGAGCTCGGCGGTCTGTTCCTCAAGGTTGGTGTGCTTGGGTTCGCCCGCCCTATTCTAATTTTTCTTTCCTCCTCTCTGATTTTCAAATGCCCTCACTCCCACCCACCAAAAAAAAAGGGCGTGCGACAGAAGCTGCAATCCGATTGTGCGGGTGCTGGTAACTGTGATCGCGCTTGTGCTGCTTTGTATCATCATGTTATGATTCGTATGCTTTGTGACACTGGTTCGGTGGATTTTGAACAGGCTGCTCAAATTCTGGGAAAACCTGACCTGGCACCGATGGCTTGGGTGAAGAGACTTGTCACGCTGTGTGATCAGGCCCCAGCCACGCCATTTATAGTGGTTAGAGATGTTGTGGAGAAGCAGTTCGGGAAGAACTTCGATGACATATTCGAATTCTTCGATGTCGAGCCTGTTGGGTCTGCTTCTATTGCACAGGTTCGTGCTTAGGTATTTCTCTTTATCTGTGAAATCTGGGGAGTGGGGTAACATCTGTACTTTCTACCATTCCTGCCAATGTTAGGCTTGTGCAAATATTGTTTCCTTCTTTGTAACATAACATCACATGCGTACTGGGAACAGATCACTTATTTTCTCACTATTTTTTTTAGATAATTTCGAAGTTATATTTGGCTCATATTTGTTAGGTGCATCGAGCAAGGCTTAAATTATCAAAGACAGACGTTGCTGTCAAGGTTCGTAATATGCTTATGTGTTTTGTAAACAGCCATTTGAAACCTCAGATTTGTTTCGGATGCCATAATGAATTAGGAATTGACCAGGTTCAACATCCAGGAGCCGAACATCTGATTATGGTTGATATTCGGAATATGCAAGCAATGGCCTTGTTTCTGCAGAAGTATGACATCAACTTTGATCTATTCTCTGCCACCAAAGAGATGGAAAAGCAGGTTTCTTCCCCACCCCCATAGCTTTCTGTTTTGTCGCTTGTCCCAGTGATCCAGTATACTTTTCTACACCTTTCCTAAAACACCAAGAAAAATGTTGTGCCTCTTTCTGCGTTTTTATAATTATGTTAAGATAAAATAAGTCAGTCTGCCGTGTTTCAAATTACTATTGAACCCTGTTAAACTGCACAGGTTGGTACTATATGCAGATCATTTTATAGAGTTGTACACATCATGGAATTCTGATATCTACTATCTTATATCTGATTAATCAGCGGCTTTCAAATTTAGGACCACTAAAATAGGGTTCAACCTTTTACATATCTATTTTTTCTTCAATCATCACTATGGAAATTTTAAGCTCTTATCTATTTTATTGATGTGTGCTTCTGAAGATATGCTATGAGTTTGACTTTGTGCGTGAAGCAAGAGCAATGGAAAGAGCAATGTTAAATCTTCCTCTTAACATTGTTTTCGTAGTATAATGCATGGTAACTAATATGTATCTTTGGTGAAGCAGTAATGCAATGCAAGGTTAATAGAAGCTTCAAATATTAGATATATGCATGTGCACAAAATAATAAACTCAGTCATTCTTTCTATATATTAGCTGGAAGAACAAAGAAGACAAATTTAGAGTTCACATTTTGACCGTTAGAAACAAGAAACAGCTCCTATTTGCATCTGGACCATTATTGACCAGTTATATATTTACATTAGCTAAAGGAGCTTAGCTGTTCAAATTGATTGGTCTTCATAAACATGCATCTCCTTGTGAGAACATATTGTTGTGTTTCCTTTCTTTGTTAGTACCTCTATTTCACACCAGTGCGCGCCTTGTGTGGTATTAAAGTATTGATATGGTTTTTTTTATTGATGTGTGCTTCTGAAGATATGCTATGAGTTTGACTTTGTGCGTGAAGCAAGAGCAATGGAAAGAATACGAGAATTCCTACGTGTCACCAATAAGAAACCTCCAGTTACGGTGCCTCGTCTGATTCCTGGGATGGTTAGCAGGTATAATATCATAGCTGCTCACTTAGCCAAAGTGTTCTTCAGGTTATTTAATTGAATCGTAGTTCTCTACCATATGTTCAGTTGGATGCAATGGTTGTCTCTAGTTTGATGGTTTCAACAGAGCAATTATAAATCAGCCACTTACAGACTTACTGATACCGGGACAAGAAATATTTATTAGCCACACTAGATTTTCCCTTTGCATGATGCTTCTTTATGCAAAGTTAATATTTGCATTTCTAGTGTATTTTCCTCCATCACGCAGTGACTTTATGTTATTGGATCTTCCTGACCCTCTAGGTTATGTATCTGGACTTCCAGGGATTAACATTATCATGTACTGGCTTGTTTGGATTTTTAGAGCTAATAAACAAAGAAATATTTATCACTACCATTTCACGTTATCAATAAAAAAACCAGTGCGCGCCTTTCTGCTGCTGATTTTAAATCATACCTTTCTCTGTTCTTGTATTCCAAATGTAGGAAACTTGATTTTTGTACTGTATGCTGTTGGATAGAACAAGCACTTAATTTTGATCTGATGTAGTGGCTTAATTTTTACTGAGCCTACTATCTCTTGTGTTTCTTTGCATAAGCAACCTGTGACAGTTTTTAGACCAATCAATATATGAGGTTATTCTGTTGTAGTATTAATTAAATGTTCATTTTTTCTTTATATATTTTGTTAGAGAAGTTTTGGTAATGGAATTCATCAAAGGGACCCCAATAATGAATCTTGGCAATGAAATGGCTAAAAAGGGCATAGATCCTGGTGGTAAGATTGCAGCAATGGCAAAGCAGTAAGCCCCTTCATCTTAAAAGAGTATGATTCTCATTTGCTTAGTTTACAGAACCTTATACTAGTTCTAAGATTCTGTGGTTGGACTGATGGGTCAATGTTATTGAATGAATATGATAAAATTTTATGCAGTTTAGTCACGATTGGCAGACCTTGAAAAGTAACTAGTTTTTTTTATCGAACACCCAGGAGAGCTGTGTATCATTATATTAAGATCTAAGAAGAAAAACAGAAGGGGGGCAAGCTTAGAACACCACCCCCCCACACACACACACACACACACACACACAAATAATGTTATAACCCGCCGTTGACAAAGATAAGACCGACCCTGACTAAAGCCTAGAAACCTGCACTATTCTCCATCAGGCACAAGAGCAAGGAGGTGGGAAATACCCCTAGCCATGGCCAGAATCCAATTGAACAGCTCCTCCTTAGCGAGCAATAATGCTCCAGCCATGTTCGGGGAAGCCCCATCAACACCGATTGCAGTGTTTCCAAATTATCCAAGCTCCAAGGACGGTGATAACATTGAGACCTTTTCTGACAGGACGGGACCATCCACCCTGGATTCAGCCATCACTCACCAGTCATCAAAGCATCCATCTTCATTTTGTGGGAGAGACCTTGTAAACTGAGTCTTTGCAGCAGGAGAAACCAGAATTCTCGTGCAAAAATGGCAGGCACAAGCAGGTGATTGATTGTTTCATCAGCTTGATCACAAAGTGGGCAATGAGCAGGATGTGGGAGGCCCCGCTGCAAGAGACGATCAGCTGTCCAGCACCTGTTATGAGCCACCAGCCACATAAAAAACTCATTTTCCTGGAGCCCAGGATTTCCAAATCCTCTCCCAGGGTCTAAAGAGGACGGCACCAAGAAGCATTCCATCGTATGCAGTTTGGCCGAGTAGTTGCCTGAATTCAAGAAACACCAAATGTGGGTGTCTTCCACCTTGGGCTGAAGCACCACCTCACAAAGCATGCCCCAGAGACGAAGAAATTCAGTAATGACTTCAACAGTTAGAATTCCAGTAATGTTTCAGAAATCCAGGTGTGATTTGAGAGAGCCTCTCGTGCACTAAAGAGAACAATCGAGGTGCAAGGTCAGCAATACATTGTCTGTCGATGCACCTGCCAGTCCAAAATAATGTGGAGGCACCATTACACCAACTTCTGAGACCACTGCCATGGAGAAGAAAGCCTGGGCAGAGCCATGAATTTGAACAGGCAAGGCTAACCAAGGACGATAAAGGTCTGTTTTTTGCTAACATAACCACCTAATCCTGAGTGCCCATCCAAGGTTTTGTTGGTTGGAGGTGCCCAAGACACCCACCTCAGGGGGGTGACGTACTTTAGTCCAAGTCACCAGAGACCAGACAATGCCCGCTTCTGTGTCTTTATGTCCTCTCCAAAGAAAGCCCCGCCTGATATTATCAATGGCTTTTAGGGCTCATTGTGGAAGCTCAATGGCCATTGCCAAGTAGACTAGCATTGAGTTAAGGACAAATTGGACCAAGATACATTGACCAGCACGTGTTAACTGTTAACAGGTCCGCCTTCCTTCCTGGAAGCTGGTCTGCTATCTTATCAATAATGGGCTGGATTTGAGCTTAGGTCAGTTTCTCTAGAGAGAGGAATTCCAAGATATATACAGGAAAGTCTAGTAACTGACATGGCATGAGGTCCTGTATCTGTGTGATGTCCCCCTTGGTGCAATGGATAGGTAGCACATTTCTGCTCTTGTGAACATCTGTTTTCAGACCTGATGCCTTGCCAAAAAGCTGTAAGATATCCAGTGTCAAACCAATGTCACTAACAGAGGGTGTGAATAATTAGAAACATTCCTTTTTTTGTAAAATAAATTCAGGTTTTAGGTTATAGTCATTTCTTCAATTGCTTTAAATTCTAATGATTAGGTTATCTCAAAAGTACCCCTTTTCTGTTGCAGGAAGATTTTGTCAGATCTTACTCTTGCATATGGTCAAATGATCTTGAAGGATGGCTTTTTCCATGCGGATCCACACCCAGGAAACATCCTTATCTGTAAGGACACAGAGGCAAGAGACCTTTTAAACCCTTCAATCTCCTTTTACAGGGCAATGGCAGCTTCCAGTTAAATGTTCTTCTTTGTGATTTTTCTTAGGTGGCTTTACTTGATTATGGACAAGTAAAAAAAATGCCAGAAGATTTGCGGCTTGCTTATGCAAATCTTGTAGTTGCAATGGCTGATGATGATTTCTTGAGGGCTGAGGAAAGTTTCAGGTATCCTCAATTGCACACCATGCATTGTTCGTCTAAATAGTCATTGAGCCCATTTAGACACTACACTGTGGCACACCATTTCCATTTAATCACCCATTGATCCCATTTAAATGGCTTTTTGCATGAATTATGGTTAAAAGGTAGGTGACCGACTGTCTAGCGTTTAGGAAAGCACTAACGCCGTGCTATGGTCTACTGAGTTTTTTGCTAGTCGGTAAACAAAAATATTTTATGTTTCTCTAACAAAGCAGTCTGAGCTAGCAAACTAATGAAGATATGACATATTGGTTCCTGTTCAAAATGAAAAGATGGGTGCTGATTCTTATTGAATAGTTGTTGATATATATATTACCTATTTTGCTCGTGGACTAAAATATTTCAGGGAGCTCGGTATCCGAACATGGGCCATATCTGATAACAAGCTAGAAGAATTGTTTCAATTATCCCTGCGAATGTTTGATACAAGATTACCACCAGGTGTAACTGTTATGTCACCTTTTGCCGATGATTCTTCGCTTCATAAAATTGGAGTGGAGGTATATAACCTATATTTTCTTAACCAATCCTATATTTGTGTCCATCCATTTATTTGTATTATCTTCACACATAGGTGATCTATCTATGTATTAATGTGTAGTTTGACTTCCTAAACTGCTTCCTTAAATAACTTATTCTATTCGTTTCCTGTTTGAAGAGCTTCCCGGAAGAGCTATTTTCAGCGCTTCGAACAATTCAACTTTTGCGAGGGCTGACTGTAGGGATGGGCCTTACATTCTCGTGCGCTAAGCATTGGAGACCAATCGCTGAGGAAGCATTGTTAAAAGCTGGAAGACAGAGCGGTAAATGTGTTTTTAGTCTGCATAATTTGTCTGTACCGTGCGTTCTGATTGAGAGATGGAGTGATTGACTCATTTGAACTTATGTCATGTTAATGCAGCTTCAAAATCAAGAAAGCAAAAGAGAAGTTTTCTCAGGAGACTGTTTTGGTGAAGTAGGGATAGGGACCATCAAGTATACGAACATTCTCCGAGGAAACGGAAGTAGCCAAAAGCTCAACCCTTCGATTCTTATATTCACAGTACATCTGTTCACATTCATTTACTTTGGGTGCGTGTTATTTTACGCAAGGATGTTTCTCATTTTTTTTTTAGAATTTTAGGGCATTGTCCCTGTCTTAGCATTGCAAAGACAATAAGCATTCGGTACAGCATTCAGGTGGGACACACCCGTCCAAAAAGCTTACAAAGACAGCAGCAAGTAGTATCACATTTTCTAGCACCACACTCACTCCACCGACTTAGCACTCAAAAACTCACTCTCAGCCCCGTCAGCCAAGAGACGATGATGCTGCTCATTCCTTCATCACAATGTGTTATTTGGATTTTAGTATATTGTTAGGGCTTCTATCAGAAGCTGACATGTAACACAAGGGGCATTAGCGGCTGCTTGTTTCCCGCACGTAGCGAGCGGACCTCAGCTTGCACTGGGGCCACTACGCGAGCATTGCGCTCCCATCGACCCAACTAAGGCCACCACCTCCGCGGGTCTTTGTGTGCTTGTCGGGTAGGGTTTCCCGCCGAGCTCGAACTACCGCGTGAGATGGAGGGAAGGAAATGGAGAGGAGGGAGTGGAGAAGGCGAGGCGCGCCATGCGATGTAAGAGTCGAAGCCCTACGGCAGGCCGCTGTCGGTCAGCCACCAGTGCCATTGCAACATGTGCAACACCCCGTCTATTTTTGAAACATCCAGATGAAACATTTGTAACATACGCCTAAAGACAAATGAAACATGCGTTTGAAACACTTGCAAAAAACAAATGAAACACTTGAAAATCTTTGCAAAACATACGCAACATATAGATAAAACATTTGCAACATATGCGTGAAATATATGCAACTTCTAGATAAACATACTTGCAACATACGTTTGAAAAAACAGATAAAACATTAGGACAACATTTGCGACATAAGTGTACAACCATTGCAACATATGCAGCATCCCGATCTCCTTTTGCAGTAACCATACGAAACCCTTGCAACATACCTCTAAAATAACTGAAACACTCGAAACATACACTTACAACCCGTGCTTTCAGCGTAATGTCACCTTGCTGCTTCGACGAATGGAGCTCAACGCCGGCGCGGAGCTCGATGCCACGGAGTGTTCAGAGGTCGCCGGTGCGGAGCTCGGCGACGGCATGGACCTCGACAGTGGCCGCGACAGGCGGATGGAGCGCGGCCGCGACAGGAAGCACGAGTTCGGACGGCCGGCGCGGGCAGGGATGGCGCAGGTCAGCGGAGTCGTCCCATGAGCGGGGGCGCGTAGTGCAGAGCAGACGTGCGACACGGGCTGGGCCCGTGAATGAGTGGATGAGAATAGGTCCGTAAATAAGTGCATGAAGCTGGTTTGAACGGAAGTCACAGAACAGATGCACGGATACAAGCGTTACCGTAACACAAGTGCCGTAATGCGCCACGGACCAAGTCCACCGGCCCTTTCATAATCCAACTCAGCCCTCTTATATTTTTAGCCTACATTGACGAAAATCAGACCAATCCTTCTGGACGTAGCACTTAGATTTGTAGGCCAAAAACCTCGGCCTGTTACCAAGCCTACATGTATACAGTCATGCTATTACGCTGAAAATACTCTAAAATATCCTGTGGGGAAACATAGTACTCCATCCGTTCTTTTAATTTGTCACATTGGACATTGATCTGTACCTGGTCAGACTTGTCCAACGTTTCCACAAAAACGCAAACTTCCTGTTAAATTAATAGGTGGCGATCAGGCCCATGAAGATGAAAGACAGTTCTGCCTATTTGATTCACAAACTAACATTTTAGCCTGTTGCTTCCTCTCTACTAACACTACTTTTATAAATCAGATCATCTTTCTGTGCAGGCGTTCAATCTGCCTTGCATCTCTGCTTATCAATGGAGGATCATTTCAGTTCCATGGATAAAGAACATCAGTTTCTATTCCTCTGTAGAACATTATTACATTAGTTTCCCATGACAAAAAGGATCACGAGGGAAAAAAAACGATGAAGATACAGCAAGAAATCGAAACCTCCTCATGCTGTTAGATTGGTTAACAGACCTACACAATTTGTCAAGCAACTCAATCACGCACTATGTGAGGTCCTTATTATACAAGTGTATTCAAGCACATATAGCAGCTTGAACAACAAGAAAGCATGCGCGAGCTCATCTCTAAGCTTGAGCTCTTTATTCATCTACCCTCACCACAGATCCATCCACCATGTATGCATCTACGGCCAGCATACAGTAGTAGTACTGCATGTATATGCGTGCATGCCAGACAAGCACGGTGCTGGGTGTATACGTATACCTCTCCGGCTGCCGGCGCAGCGTGACGCGGCGAGCGGCGGACTAGGACTTCCAGCAGGAGGCGGCAATGACGGGCTTGCCCTTCCAGCCGAGGACGAGGCATCCCTTCTCCTCGGCCACCGTGTACCCGCCGCCGCCGGCGTTCTCCTCCAGCCACTCCCGCGCCCTGGCCGCCATCCTGATAGGCATGGACTGGAACCCGGCGCGGCTCATGCGGCGCCGCCACTGGTCAGCGCGCTCGTGCCGCTCCACGCGCGCCGCGCCCTCGCAGCCGACCACGTTGCGGATCTCCGCGCCGAAGTGGAACTGCTCCACGCGCGCGCGCCGCGCGTCGTAGCGCGGGAGCGCCGCGTCGAGCGCGTCGAACACGGCGGCGTAGTAGTGGAGCGCCTCCATGAACCGGCCCAGGAAGAAGGGCCCGTTGTGCCCCGCGTCCTGCTCCACGAGGACGAACGCCTTGGGCGACAGCTTGCGGATGGTCTGGAGCACCGAGTTGAGCGCCCCGCGGCTCTCCTTCACCACGCAGTGCAGCTCCAGGATGCTGCTGATGGCCACGGCCTCGTCGGCGGCGATCCCGAGGTCGTCGATGTGCAGGCTCTCGAGGCTGCGGTCGACGGCCCTGAACTCGAGGCACACCCCGAGCCCCTCCGCGTACGCCTCGAGCTCGCGGCCGACTGCTCTCATGGTGTCCGCGGGGGCGCCGATGCCGGTGACGCGCATGTTCGCAGGCTTGGCGCCCGCGCGGGAGGCGAGGCCGTCGAGGAGGCCGCGCCACTGGTGGGCGCGGTCCAGGCCCAGCGTCATGCCCAGGTCCACCACGTGGACGTTACTCTCTCCCTCGAAGGCTTCCAGGATGGAGGCGTTGGCCACGAAGTGCGCGAACCGCAGGTACGGGCACAGCTCGTACGCCAGCGCGAGCGCCTCGCCGCGCGCGCCGTCGCGCCCCGTGCACGACGGCGGGATGCAGAACGCCATGCTGGCCGGGCCCAGCGCCGGCGGGTGGGCCAGCGCCAGCCGGTCCGCCAGGCCCTGCACGAAGCACGACGCGACGCGCTGGAAAGCCGTCCCGTGCACGGGCGCGCCGGCCTGGAGCTCCCGCAGCAGCGCCGCGGCCTGCGCGCGGTCGCGGCACGCCACGGCCTCGGCGCACGCGACCAGCAGCTGCACGAGCCGCATCCCGTCCGCGCCGTCTCCACTCCCTCCGCCGCAGCCGCCGCCGCCGCCGCCCGCCTCGCCGGCACCCCCACCATTCCCCACGGCAACCCCGTCCTCACCTTCCTGGAACGCCACTGGGGACTCCATCGCCTCCATGGCCTCGACCTTCTGCTTGCAGCTCTTAAGAACGTCCCGGAACCTCTGCTTCCTGACGCGCGACGATTCGGCGGCCGCGGCGCGAGCCAGCGGCCATGACGGCTGGTAAGGCGAGCTGTAGTAGTCGACCCTGGTGGCCTTATTGGAAGCCTGGAAGCCGAGCTCTACCTCGTCGCCGTCGAACGCCGCGTCCTGCTGATCAGTGCCACAGTAGTAGGGGAAGCCCAGTCCTGGTTCGGTGCAGATCACGGAGTCGTGCTGTGGCAGCAGATGATGAATCAGCTGGGAGGCGCCATAGGTGGAGACGGTGAACAAGTTGGGCGTGCTCGTGCATGGCTGCTCAGATGTGCCCATGTGTGCTTCTTCTTTACTCCTTGGCGTCAGTTAGGCCTTGTTGCGAAGGCAAATGTCCTAGTTAACTTCGTTACGTGGTTGCACCAACTAGCATATTTATAGAGGTTTTCCAGGAGACGACTTGGTTCCTCTCTCTCTGTTTTTCCTTTCTTTTCTGCTAATAACCAGCTAAGAACAGCTACTTGTATTTATATGTTACACAACTCAGGTTTGCCTGTCTTTTTTTTTTGTTAAAGTAGTAGTATAAGTATTGAAAGACTTGGTACTCTCTGACCATATATATATTCCAAAGAAAGTTTATTTTATAGCATGGCACAAAAACGCATAATCATCTGGCTGCAAGAGAAAACTATTCAGAACATTTATGTGATTCATTCAGCACTGTTAATTCCATCAGCGACGTTTAAGTTTGGATGGAATAATAACACGATGGCGCACACAGATCCAAGTGTAAAAAATGTAGTTTTCACTGTCCAGATTTTTGCAGCGACAGATACCGCAAGATAGGTATGTATGGAGGATCGCGTACATGGCACGGAAGGTTTGCCAAGGCGAGGCGTTTCAGTCCGCTTCCGGTTTGCTGCAGAGAAAGCTGTAAAACAGATGGCGCGATGGAATCTTATTAGAGTAAGTAGCACTACTAAGTGCAATACTAAGAGGGAACAGATGAATTAGTCTCTTCGTTAGGATCGAAATTTTTGCCGCTCAGATAATTTTTGTGTCCATTCAGTGATGACGATTCGACCACTGTTTTCTTTCCAAGAGAACGGAATGGGTGAAGTTGATTCATCGATCAGTCTCTCTGCTTTCTGGTGGTAAATTATCAAACTGGGTAGCAGTAAAAAATGCCGACCAAGTGCAAAACAACAGCCCAAAAATCCACAAGAATCTGGTGAGTAAAAATCAATTGATCCTGCATTGGCATGGATTAAAAATTAACAAACGAAGATATACTACTTGGGAAGCTCGATCTCGCGC